CAGGCCAATGCGCCTGCAATGAAGAAAGCTATCATTGAGGCGCGGGAGACGGCGAAGGAAGTTCCCCATTATCATTTGACTGCTGGGGTTTCGCAGATGTAGCTACATCGTTTTTTACACTCCAAGACTTCAAGCTATGATTCTTTTGTCTTCGACAAGTTAGCAGACACTTTTGTTTCAAGGGTATCAAGTTTTTGAGGACTATGTTTGGATTTGGTCCACACGAAGCATGCCAGGACAATCCACCCTTGAAATTTCCATCACCAAGCTTTCTCCTCAGGTGTAGGGTTTTGCTGCGCAGTGTGTAGGCTGCGATGGTGGCAGAAGCACATATGCATCCCCAGGATTTGCTTGGGCCGGAGGTAACCAGGAATCTCTTCCCGACGAGCCATTTTGCTTCAAAACAGACTGATCCAAGGTGATGCGCAGGGAGTGGCTTCGCCCTCGGAATCCTCAGAATCTTATTCTCGGCTGTCCTGAGTCCTGAGGACCTAAGTTGAAGTGTGTCCATCCAATGGCACCGTTGCTTGATGACTGAGGTTTCTGGCTCCTTGACCGGCGCTTTAGCCTTCACCAAGGCAAATGGGTTGCTGGCATGCTTCTCATGCTGGGGTCGTCTGGTTTTGTGGGGACATTTCCAGAGTTCCGAGAGAAGCGGTTGTCAAGTCTGTTGCTGGCATTTGCTCATGGCTTACGGCCCAAGTGACAACCGAACTCAACCAGCTCTTGCCGCAACGACCCCCCTCTTGGGCCTGGGTGGTGGGGTTGTCTCCGAAGCGAGCCGCAGATGCTTCTAAAGCGCACTGCGAAAGAGCGGCCGACGGCTGAAGAGGCAGTGCGACCGGCGCGAGATGTTGACGTAGATGACTTAGGCGTTGCTTTGTTGGATATTGTTTGATTCACAGTTGCCGTGGCTCAAGTGTCTAACATATGGATACTGCTTCAATTCATCATGCAGTTTGAGGGGTGCCTGTTTTTCAAGAGAAGGGTTTACTTTGTCCTTGAATATTGCTTCAGACGATTTGTGGGTGTGATTCCTCACATGAGGTTTGATTCCTCGCATTGGAGTCCCATGCTTGTTGGATCCCACTCCATCAAGTTTCCCTTCTTTTTATCATCATACCATTATACCTTATACCAAAAACAAGTGCACAAGAGACGAATGTGCAAGCAGTTCTTAAGGCATCGGGGCCCTTGTTTATCTTTGTTCGTTTGTGTTTCTTGAAGTGCTCACACAAAGAACAAACCCTCTTCCAAAAGGACACTTCCAGCAAGTCTGTCACAGGCCTTGAGACACGAGTTCGTGGCTGACAAAACAGCCGTGTCCGACAAAGTTGAAAAAGTTAATGAAGATGAAGCTGAGCCCATGCTTCGCTTTTTCCTCAGATCACTTTGGATGCTTCGTGTTTGCAGATTAATTGGAGCTCAAGTAGTCAGAGCAAGATATGATAGCTAAGATACAGTCCATTATAAAGTAATATTGCATTGCCCAAAGATCTCAGACTGGTGATGAGGCCGCAACGCTCATCAAGCCAAAAAGCTTACGCAGCAGCTGCGGCGGAAGCGTGACTCCACTGCCCCACTGGCATGACCATTGCCAGATGTTCTCACTGTTTGTGCTCATTTGTGCTGCATGAACTGAGAGTTGGTGGATTTGGAACGTCACCAAAAAGTCCAGAGATTGGACGTTGGCAAAGCATTTTGGACTGGCCAGGTGCAGAATGGCATCGATGACTTGTTGCAGAAGCTCATCACTAAGTTTGGAGGCGAAGATGAAGAACCGATCGGCGAAGGAAGAGTTGCCATGGCTGTATCTTTTTCGAGGAAGACTTTGTTCAATGCCTTGCTGGCTTTCGAAGTGCATGTTCTTTGACGCAATTGAACATTAGATAACTGAGTCTCTACAGCTCAGTAGTCATCAATCATTCCTGTCCCAAGAATTGTGCCTTCAGATCCGGGCTGCAGCACCATGACATTCAATGAATGAACCGCCTTGGTCTCCACACGTCCCAACAAGCTGTGTCAGACACCGTTGATGTTGACACCTGCAGGGGACATCAGTGACATCAACGGTTCCAACATTTTCTTCTCGGAGGGCGACGAGAATCTTGAAATCAACAACGAGGAGGAGAAGCTTTTGCTTCAGATTCTTTCGTGAAAGCTTTATGCTCTACCAATGATAAATCATTCAGCTAAATGAAGGACCGGCATCATTGACTCTTTTTGGTGGATTGAAGCTGTTATAAAGTGGTTTCCCTTTAAATGGGTTGTTGTAGCGGTACTAGAAGGCACCAGTATGGGTGGATCAAAGGAACACATCGAATTTGCGGTTTGTGGACGCGCTAGGAGGCTGCGAAACTTGAGCCCAGAATGAAGAGAAAAGCATCAAGAAGTGCCGTGCTTAAAGATTTGTCACATGCTTTTGGGGACCCAATCAATCCCACTCAATAAAAGAGGCAAGTGACATGTTGTATTTGTCCATCCATCCATCCGTCCGTCCGTCCATCGATCGATCTGTACACATTTTGTTGACCAAGTGGTCGCTGGTGACATGTTAACTGTTTGTCGAACTGATCAAACGAAGACCAAGCTGCACTGCTTTGCCAGGGGATGTGAAGCACTCAACGCATTCTGGGGTCATTGATGATTCTGGTGCCATTCGATTTGGGATGAGCTGCGGCCTCGGCTTTCCAGCTTTTTGGCTTTACTGTGTTTTGGATTTCTGGATGAAGATTCGCTAAGGTCCCACTAGTGTGACTGGAGCCAGAACTGGCAAGAGTTTGCCTGGTGATGCCTGACCCTCAGCCCCGAGAGGCGGAGTTTTGTTGAGAACGCGGCTGTGAAGGTGCATGGTCTGGCCAACCAGGTTTAGAACGAGGCCGCCGATTAGGGCAATTCTCCAAGCTATGGTTCAAGAATTAAATCTTATCCAAACAAGAGGATTACTGTACACCTTACTCGGAGATACTCCCACATATCGAGTGGTCCATGGGGGTAGTAAATAGTAAGTTTGTCATTCTGTTGCACAGGCACATGCACACGCAGCTAATCTTGTGTTGTGAAGTTCTCTGATGTCATCAGCTTCACTGGCTGCTGGGGTTGGGTATCAGGACGATCTACTTGCGTTGGCTGGTTTTGGGGGCTTTGAGCATCATGATGATCTATTTTGATGCAAAGCAGGTGTGGTGGTCTATAATTTTTGATGATTTTTGCCAGCGTGTCTTTGGAGTTGAAGGGCACAATCAAAGTCATCCATCGACGAGGTTTGCAATCGAACGAGTTCCGCAATTCAAGAACTCAATTTGTCATTAGGGGACTGCCTTTTTGGCTAGTCAAGGGCGCCCTCAATAACGTGCGGTGAGCGATATTTTTGGAGCTTGAACATCCACTTTCACAGGGCCTGCTCGCAAGGCAAACAGGCTGTTGCTTGTGCGGCAGCAAAGTGATAGGAAAAACTAGGTGAACAATGGTGAACTTACTAGCTTGTAAGTCTATTGTGCAGTGTGTCTTCGCTGGATTGCACAAAGACGAAATACTTGACCCCTTTCTACTTCAGTGACATCAAGAGACGCCAGGAACAAGTGCCTTACTAGTAGTAACAAGTTACGAATTTAAATAGAATTCTGATTAGTAGCTTCTTCTTACTACCAGTAAGGCACTTGTTACTACTAGCGATGCACTTGTAATTACTAGCAAAGGAATCTACTAGGACCTTTTGTTGGGGGGGTGTAGACCTTTGATGCTACTAGGCTTGGATGTAGACGGGCTCAGGCTTCTTCAAAGAAGCTCCCCCAGCCTGAGGGTGCCTGAACCTGAATCTTCTAGATTTTTGGGAAAACTAGGCAGCAAAGGTCGGTTACAGCTTTCAAGCATCGGCAGCTTGCGTAGGCTCACTGGATCCTGGACGAATGTCGAAGGACATGAGGATGTCCCTGATCAGGTGAGACGTCATCGAAAACAGACATACAGCAGCGGCACCGCTGTGGCGTGGGTGCAAATGTTTGAAAATGCGCGCTTTTGACTTGGAGAAATTCTCAAAGTTCCCATGTCAATTTCGTCTATGAACCCATGCTGCTGTACAGAAGCGTTTCCTCCTTGCATCCTCACAGGTTCGCTGGGGTAGCTGTCGTGTTCTTCAAGGTTGAAAGGGCGCAGAAGCTGTTTGTACACGCCATACCACGGGCACACTTGGCCGAATGTCCTTGCCTTTACGGCCGCTTTTTTTGCCGAATCCTGAAAAGAGCATCGAGCAAAGGCATTCGGCCAGGCGTGCCACTTCTTCGGCTTGGAAATAAGTGGAGAATCCCAGCTGGAGAATCCCAGCCGAGGTTTCCTTTTCAGACTGTTCGGTGGTTGCTTTTTTGCGCGCTGCTGGCGTGCTGCTGCTGAAGGTTTAACGATCTTGGCAGCAACGACGTTTTTCTGTACGACTTAGCTGTCCAGAGGCAGTTTTCTGACCCTGGCCACATCAAAAATCATTTTTAAGGGACACTACTAAGCACATTTCGGGAGCTTTGGTTAAGTATACGAAGTATTGCTTTCGGTAGAGACGTTGTTGTCTCACACACGCATGCAATGTCCAGAAGGACATGCATGTTGCACGCAGAGAAGATGAATTTTGAAGACCGCAGTGCATTCGCCGAACCAAGATCGCTTCAAACTAGGCAGCCAAGAAGCACAGGAAGCAGCAATTCTGACACTACATTGCTAGAACTTGGAAGACCCTGGACTGGGCTAGCTGGAATTGCTACTATACCAGATACCACTGTACAGCGACGACTTGCGAATGTGCTGTGAGTGCTGCGCATGTTGCCCCTCGCTTGGATAGCCTTTCCCGATCAGCTGCTTCCCTTAAGGTCTGAGCAGCTTGCCGTAGACATCGCGCGCAAAAGCAGCCGCATGTAGTTTCTCCTAGAGCGGTGCTTCCGAGAGAGCGAGTCTATCTGATGTTCCTCGACAACTTTTTTGATGCTGTGTGACCGGTCTGACAGGATCTGTGCAGTCCGCAATATTTTGGGCTGGAGTCATTTGATTTGATTAATGCCTGCAGGCCGCTCCGTTTGCACCGAAACGGTAGGAGAATGTCGGCTGGCACGAATCTTCACCTGACCAGGCCAAATGTTCTGATGGAAACATCGCCGCGAAAAGATCGCGAGGCCCAGTAAAGCAGCGCTTTTGTGTTTCTCTCTCTCTCTCTCTGTCTCTCTCTCCACTGGCAGTGGCAGGCATGGAAGTTTTTGCAACGACGCCCCAGAAGCCAGAGGCCTTTTGAACTTCTGTCAATTTTCAAGTGTTTGAGCCTTCCTCCGTTCTTGTCGAGGCACAACAAGAGATCCAAGTGGGCCTTGCCCTCAGATGCCGGTGTCACGATGCTTGAAGATGGAAAGTATTGCAATATTGCAGCCACAGGGCATGGCTGCTGCTGGCTGTATTTGGATGCGTCCGTGGTCACCTGTGTCATTCTCTGTTGCCCGCAACCTAGAAGACAATCTGGTTATCCGTTCCCCTGTATTCTTCAGCGCTATATATTTAAAGAATCAACAAGACAGGTCACAATGGTCACAGCCGTCATGTGACACACCTGAGTGAGGCACAGACCCATCATACAGCTTCGCGAAGGCATGAAACCCAGCGAAGCTGAGTGCATGGCACGCCGCAGTTTGGCATATGGAAAGCTTTTGACTGAGCCCCGTATATTGGAGGCACATTCCCACTGATGTTATGCAGCGAGGTGGGATCCTGGGTTTGACTGATGTGATGTCGTCAGTGGATCTAAGCAAACGTGTACAGAAGGTGGCCCTTTGTTGAACACACTTGGACGTGGACAAGACTATTTTGCTCTACAAATTCTGTTCCATTTCTATGATTGTTGGGTTATTTGCATCTTGTGTATTCTTGTGTAGGCAGGGCTGGTGCCACACTATGCTGCGAGAAAAGACCAGGCGGCGCTTCCTAGATGCTTCTCCTTGAAACAAGGTATGTTTCGTTGGCAACGAGCAGATCCAATGTGGGCCCAGTATTGTCCATGGTTATTACTCGTATATAATGGAACAAGAAGCTACTAGGTGGAGGCCGTCGCTATTGGGTTGGAGGGCATTACTACTAGTAACAAGAAGCTACTAGTAACAAGTGGAATGCATAATATGGTGGTTCCGAACTGGCCAGCGGATGCTATTTATTTCCGACAGTTCCAACGCAGGACGCTTAGCAGGAGCTGGATTCATCGCCTTGAGTGTCTTTGGTTTCTTTGAGCGCCTTGGACGAGCGAGCATGGCGATGTGGGTTTGTCTCCCCTCACGAACACATGCTACATCCAATTGCCGAGGGGTGTTGCTTTATTTTTGGACTCACGCTTTTCTCCCTGTCCCGAAGCTGGACAGAGTTGGACATTCGCGACTGAGGGGGCCTACTGAGGGCGAAGGTGATGCCAAAGATTCCAAGAGGCGTCGCGAAAAAGGGCAGAACTGCAGGGCACTGCATGTCGCGTGTTCACCCCGCCAGGCAATCCTCCCGAGTCCGGGCACCAAGTTGTTGGGGGAGGTCACAGGCAGACGGACTGCGCGAGGGATTTGGGTGACCGTCTCATCATCGGTTTGGTTCGACATAAGATCACCTATCCACTTGGGGGGCATGACGTTGGGCGTTACTTGGGCCACCCGCGCATGAGTAGACTAGATTTGGCCAAGATAACTGCTGGTCGACCGGTTCGAAGGGCCACTGACCTTGCACGTCCGTTTCCCTAAGCTTGACTCAGACAGACCTGGCCCGCCTGCACCGCTCGCGCTGTGCACCGGTCCGCACAAGCTTGTCCGCATGTCACAGCGAAGAATACCACAGACTCAAAACATCTCACAACCTTGATCAATCAGCCGGAGTCTCTACCAACCTCGGGGCTTTTACACGGCCTTGCTGTGTGACAATCTGCCTTGGCAGGGTCGACGCCGCAAGGAGGATGATGCTTTGAGGCGTCTCCTGCTGCAGGTGGGAGTGCATGAATTCTCGCTGCACTGTCTTTATCTGCGTGACAACGAGCATATCCGGTCAGGGGCACGGAGAGCATACGGATTCCTTCAAGAGGAGATCGCCTTGGTTGTATGTTGAGTGGGGCCTCTTCACACATTCCGCAGCAGCTTCAGGACACTTGTAGATTGGTGGGAGAGTTTGCCACTTGTTGGCCAGAAAAGAAGGATAGAAAAAGAAGAGGCCACCATGACAGTCTATTTTGTCATGGCTATGGCTCTTGTTATTTTTTAAACGTGAAGAGGAAGAAGGATGAGGGTTTTACCTTCCGTATGCGAAGGCGCACTCGAAGGATCGCCTGGAAGGTCCAGAAGACGCGGCTTCAGGCTGTGCAGGGCGTGAACCAGCCTCGATGTATTGGGGACTCGAAAACAGTTAACAGCGATGGCCTCAAACCTAAGGGTGATGGCGTCCAACCTGAGGGCGATGGCCTCCAACCTAAGAGCCAGACACACCTTGAAAGGAGGCAGATAATTGTTGTGACACGGATTGGGTGGAGGATGCGAGACTCTTGGTGCTAGTAGCGTCCTTGCTCCTACTAGTACGGCCAGGAGCCCTAGTAGCGTCCTTGTTCCTAGTAGTGATGCCAGGAGCCCCTAGTAGCCTACTAGTAGCTTCTTGTTACTAGTAGTACACGCCTCGGAGGCGCTGTAAATATCCTCGCCTCCGTGAAGACGTCAGTGGTTGCAGCAGTGCTTGGCACAGGCCGTCCGATTCCTGGAGCAGTACCCGGCACGTCATGCGCCGTGACTCCTCCTTTGTCCTTCGTCGCCACATCTCCTGAGGTCCCGAAGAGATCTCGGAAGATGAGAAGGAAGATGACAAGGAGTCAAATGAGTTTGCTTCTGAGTATCCATCATATCATTGGTTGTATTCGTTCTCACACTTGAAGGTTTGGCTTGTGATGCACTTCCATGATCTTCCATGCACTTCCCCCTTTTAGGTGCAAATCTTCTTGTGTCGTCGGAGTAGTTTGTTTCTCTTTCCTGAGGTCTTTTCCGCCCTTCTTGCCGGAGTTTTCAGCACCAGGCTATCGGGCGCAGCCAAACCTGCTCGGGTGCGACAGGATCGAGTGCTTTTTCCTCGGTCGCTCCAGGCCTCTTCGGTGAGACTCCGACAGAGACGCGCGATACCGTCGTTTCCCCAGACGTGGCATTTGGTTTGCGGCCAGAAAGGATCGACGGCTCTGTTTCGGAGGATTCGGCGGATGTCACACAAGAAGCTAGTGCTGAAAAGGAGGAGGTGAATGGGGGTATTTGGAGGGAGGATTCGATGTTGTTTGGGTTGAAGTTCAATCACACCCAAGTATACAAGCAAAATCAAGCACATTTGACGAATTGATAGATCTGACTAAAGATTTCCTTTGTTTTTTTGAGCCCAAACCGGGGCTGCGTTCTTGAATGCTCATGCGTGAGTGGAAGGACTGGTGGCAAAATGCTCAAGCAGCCCTTGGAATGGCTGTGGCCTCATACTGAATGAAGCGTAAAACAGGCCATTTTGAGTGAAGCGAAAGACCGATCTCAGGCCCAAACAGAGGAACAAGAGGAACGAAAGGAGGAGAAGAAAGAGAGGGAGAAGGAAGAGAAGGAGGTTGAGGCTGAGCCCAAGGAGAGTGCCACGGAAAGGCGAGATGATCTTTAGTCATGAGTAGTCTTCAGCCTTTCCGTCTCAGAAAAGATGAGTTTGTTTTGTATTCTTCCGCCAGATTTGAAGTGGAAGAGTGGCGCTCCCAGCTTGGCACAAGGACAGTATGACAATGGCCTTGAGTGGTTTCACAGGCCTTTGCCAAGAGAAGAGGAGGTTGTGGAGGTGGGAGATTGCTAGATTCTTCAAACGATCAAATCAAGATGGGCCCCAGCAGCAGTCAAGGCAGATCACCGCCACGATTGGGTGTACCCTGTTGTCATTCTGCACACTTCTAGAAAAAGCCTTTACGTATCTTTACGTGTTTTTCTTTCAGAACACGTTACCACCAGCGTGCGCTAAAACTGTAAATATTTCACTGTATTCTTGCATATCTAGTAGACTAGTGCAAAAACACTATAGTTCAGTGAGTGTATTATACTAAATGCCTCAGTGTCTTCAGTGTCACATAACCAAAAAACCAAAAAAACAAAAAAAACTAAAAAAAATAAAAACCAAAAAAAACAAAAAAGCCAAAAAAAACAAAAAAACCTACCCAACCAACCCAAGACCCTCTGCAATCCATGAGTCTGTTTTTTTTTGGGTTTTCAACAGGTTTTGGACACTGCACTCAGGAAAACCAAAAAGAAAACCTTTGGACCCAAGACCGTCTGCAAGCCATGAGTTTGTTTTTTTTTGTTTGTTTTTTTAGTTTTGCAATTTCAGAAAATTCCTATGCCCATCCTGTCTGGCTCATAGTCATCCTTTTATCGTTCAATTTGCTTCTGTGCTATCTTTCGAGCCCTTCAACACTCTATGGCCATGGAGGTGGAGGGCGATAATATGTCCCTGAGCGATGCCATCGCAGCGACCCAGCACCTCACGCTGCGAGAACTTCCAGCTCATGTTCATGTTGGCCCTCTACCGGTCGGTTCGGTCTACCTTTGAAGGAGTTTCTTGTCTGTCTTCAAGTGTCATCGAAAGTCGATAGGCCTTCCCCATCACATGTGATATTTATGCATGATTCTTTCTTATGCTTCTCAGGCTTTCGGACTCTACTCCTTCAATCAAGCACTTCGTTGATTTGATCTATGATGTCGAGCCCTCCTCGATCGACATGGACAATCTGAAAGCCATCATCAGAGACAAGGCTTGGCAAGAGCTTCCTGAAGCACTTACCTTGAAGGAACGCCCCACGTTCTCTTGCTTGTCCCAATTTTGTTTGCTTCCACAAACCAATGGGAAACTATGTGTCCTCAAGCATTACTACGTCAAGAGTGACAAAGTCAAGGGCGCATATGTTGCCAAGCGCGTGGTCAAGGCAAGGAGATTGCTTGGGCCTCCCTCAACAAACAGCAAGCTCGCCGTGGCTTCCAGTGGATGTTGGAGTGGCTGGGTGGGCATCAGTTTCGTCACTTCTCTCTTTCCGCTGAGAAGGTCCGATCCAACAAAGCACGTGCCCCTCAAGGAGAAGATGAGTAGGATGCAGCATGGGACTTCATCATCAGCAACGGTGAGAGAGACAAGGACTACTTGAAGCAGATGCGCTGGATCCATCGCCACATCCAAAAAGAAGGTTCTCCGATCCATGGTTGGAACGAGAAGTTGGTTCAGAGAGCTCTTGATTGTCTTGCTAATGACGGATGTCTGGCCAAATTGTCTGACAGATATGATTTGACCATCCAAGCCATTCAGCCAGAAATCTTGACCATCTTGGAAGATCTCTTGCCTCATCTTCGTGGACATTCCCTGTGGCTGCTCGGAGAGTCCGGTGTCGGCAAAACCCCTCTCGCTCGAATTCTTTCCATGATGTTTTCGCGATATCATGGAGGAAATGGTCAGTTCAGGTCAGCCCCGAAGTTTGATTGCTTTCGTGGCATCTTCTTCGACAAGGCCACGCCTGCCATTTTTGACGATGGTGAAATCGGTAATGAGACCATCAAAAAGAAAAAGGCGTTCTCAGATGTGGGAGATTCTGAGACCATCCTGAAAGAAAGGCCGGGCTCTGCAATGTCACATCACATGTGCAATCCGCATATTGTGTTTTCCCTTGACATGCATGTCTGTGAATGTAAATCATTAATTTTCTTGGGCAGGTGGACGGCAGCGAAGTTCGTGATGCATCAGCTTCGCATCGTCGTAGACAACCAGTACAACCCAGAGGGTCAAGAAGGCGATGTTGATGGTGTTTTCTCAGCAGAAGTCTCCCATGAGTCTTTCATGAAGCTGGTCCGTCCAGCCGTGGGCTACATCGCCAATGCCGATGCTATGGCAATTCTGAAAAGGGCTGCCTTCATCGTGTTTGCTGAGAAGTACATCTATTTCCGACCACCCACTGAGAAGCATGTCAAGGTGCAGCGTGTTTTTTGGACCAACTCAGATTCAAAGGACATTCTTCTTCCAGATTGCAAGCCAACCCTGAAGAATTGGAAAAATGGTGGGCCTCAGCCGGATACTTATTCCGCATCTGTGGCATGGGAGACTGAATGGTTGAAAGAGCTATTCCGTCGACATGATCATCCTGTACGTCCTGCTTCGCCAGCTTGTCCTTTGACTTCCACGCCTGGTTTGGATGCGTTGCTTCGGGCTGATGGGGCTTTGCCTGCTGCACCTGCTTCTTCAAGGCCGGCATCGAGTTCATTGTCAATTCCTCACCCTGCCCCTGCTCTTTTGGTTGGCGTACCCAATTTGGAGCCAGCCGAGCATCCGGATGCGCATGCATGGTTGGCCACAGCGACACGTGGAGATCCTGTGGATGTAGGCACAGATCGTGCAAGTGCAGGTTGGACCGTTAAGGAAGAGCCTTCCTTGAAGTTCCAGAGCCTTGCCTTTACCTCTAGTGAGCCCATTGTCTTGGACACACCTTCCCCGCCACCACACAAGAGACAGAGAAGGACATAAGACATTCCCAATCTGGACATTTTGCCTGGACTTCATCCTCGATCCGATGGATCGCGTTGGTGCTGCTCCTGACTTAGAATATGGAGGTCCTGGCTGCCAGAATGGCTTCAAAGATGTGTGCTTGATCATGGCCATGCAAAAAATTGGTCTTCCGGTGGTTTGCGATCAAGATGGCCCATTCTCAGTTTCCTACGGCAATAGTCTGCTACTTCCCTTTGGCGTCCAACTGTGTCAGAAGCATTGTCGAAAGTCTTTGCCGGATGGCAGCTACATCGTGCATGACAAGGACATGAAGCACTTCTTTGCCTTGCAGCATCGAGAAGGTTTGCTCCTCAAGAAGGATGGTGAGGTCACCTCAGTGGTGTCTGCTGGTGTGGCAATGGACATGTTGTCATCTGACCAGTACACCTTCTACTACTTGCGAAGGCAATCCTACTCAGCATTAGTGACCTTGGATGCTGTGGGAGGTTCTAGTCCGCAGACTTTCACATGTCCTCTGAGCAAGTGTGTCTGTGAAGGTTGTTCTGGTTCCCTCATCCACCATTTGTCCGTCGATGCCGTGCTGTACGATTTAGATGGCCCTCGAAAAATCGTCCACGTGCAGAAGAACTGTACTTCCCGTTCTTGCCGGGCTTCTTATGGCTACAACTATCGCTGGGAAGCAGGCAAGAAGGTGAACGTCCTTGGCATGAAGGATTTTCAGGACAACATTCTGTTTGTGAACTCGAAGAAGGCCTTTTCTTTGAAATACATCCAGTATCATGAAGAACTTCTGTTCCGTGGTCATCTCTCAAGTGCTGCTGTGTCGTGCGCTTACCACGTTGTCCACGGAGATTCCCAAGAGTCAATCCTTCAGAACTTTGACAAGCTGCATGCGTCTGCGTTGTTCTACTACATGGCTGTGAGGGAGTTCGAGATGTTGGGCCTGCGTCAGGAGATCATGATCGAACAGGAGATCCAAGATACCCATCTTGACCTCTACGATTCCTTTTGCCACTCATCTACCTTTCCTCCACACAAGCGTCAGCAGGTGAAGACCTTAGTCCTTGATGGAAACCAGAAGCTGAAGATGCAGTGTGATATGGCGCCAATGAAGCGCGCAGGCCGTCCTAGGAAGTCTGAGCACACCACCGGGCACTACACCAATGGCTGGATGCTTGCGTGTGATCCGAAGTCCGGTCGCATCAGCAGCTTGCAGGTCACGCATGAGCCTGAAGGCAACGAGGTCGCAACTCTGGCTGTGGAGAACGTCATCTGGTTGTACCCCAAACTGGATTGCCTTGTCTACGACAGAGCGTGCGCTTTCAAGTCATGTGGGGAGTCGAATGAGGCCTTGAATCAGATCGGCTACTATGTCGTGGATGGTTTTCATTCTCATGGTCATTCGCGAACCTGCCCTTGCAATCCTCGTGTCCTGTCTCTTTGTTTCAACACCAAGTCAATCAATATGGATTCTGTTCTATCGAGACGACCGCAATCATTTTTTGCAAGTTTATTGAGGCGCATGTTGTTGCATTAGCCCTTATGAATGTGTCGTTTTGTATAGTTTCGCATTTACTTTAAACCAAGCCTACCTAGGCTACCGCAAGAAGCTGGAGAAGCGCATTCACAAAGAGAACACTTCGATCTGCGAACAGGTCTTCTCGTGGTTCCGCAACTTTTCCCCTATCATCAATGAGATGCGAGCCCACCGGCACAAATTCTTCTTGTTGCTTCTATCCAAGCGTCACAACGAGTCCATTGAGGGTGGCAACATTCGGTATTTGCATCCAACTCGCCTGCCAAACCTCTTCAAGAATGCGAAGTCTGTCTCATACCTATGTGGCAAGAAGTCCAACACGAAGAAAGCAATTGGCAAACCCTCGTCTGGCAACAAGATGGTCATGAAGGGCAAGTCCATGAAGAGTAAGTCCATGAAGTACAAGAAGTGAAGAAAGCTGAGGGACCATCTGTAGATCTAATCTCATGGGACAAGTTCTGTAGAATATAAATATTTTTGCTATGTAAATCCTTCTATTTGGTGGGTTGCTATTAATTAAACACACTGGTGCATATCAGTAAGATTGCTATAGAATCTCTATTGAAATATTGTTGCTTGTTGGAAGTCCACATGAGAAGTTTTGGCTTTGGTATGAGCTGAAAACTTTAGACAGCAAGATTTGGCAGCTTGAAATGCTTAAAAAAGTGCACGCTCACAGTGACGAGCTCTCTTTTCTTTCGAGTTTCGGGCCCTGCAGAATTCGTGGCGCCTTTTGAATCTCAGGTTGAGGCTGCGGCTACCCCAGAGTGGCACACTCAGATCTGCATTCAGCGGTGCTCTCGCTCAACGATGTCTTGCCCGAAGGCCTGCGCCACAGGAAGAGCTTGAGCCACCAGTGGCGTTCACTTCCCAGCTCCGATCCATCGTTGAACTGAGTCAAAGGATTGTGCAAAATAGTGAGAGTTGACTTTGACAATACGTGGTTGTGCATATAGAGTGGTTTGTGTCAATGGTTGGTTTGAGAGAGTGCTGCCAATGGCATGATTCGGCAATCAGGCCGGGCATGGAAGATGCCAACCTCATCGTACGAGTGGACATTGACCCCAAGCGACAAAGAGTAGAACTTGGGGAGAAGGTGGGGGATTTGCAGTCAAACCCGCACATCTGGGAAGATGTCAAGTGAGTCTTTGCGTGGCCATCCGTGGGTCATTTGTGGGAGTATATATCCGTGGGTAGCTTGAGACCTAGGGGGAAAATATGCTGAATTTGTTTTACTTCGTTTGACCCAGAAAGGAAAAGCTGAACTTCGTTCAAGAAAGGCTGGTCTTTTTACTTCGACGCCATCGCCCAGGCCATTCGGAATCTCATGTCCCAGTCTGACCGTAAAGTGTTGGAGGCGGGTGGATTCGAGTGCAGTGGGTCTTGGTAGCTGGCAGCTACCCATGGCGTCAGGCCATGGCCCAAGAAGGATGGGAGGCCGGGTGCAGCGGCGCAGCGGCTGCATTTCTTTCAATCATTTGGAAGTTTTGGAAGAGAGCTGAAGCACTTTGGGCCGGTGGGCACCGTTGATCTTTTGGATCAGTGGCACTTGATTTTGAGGTTGAAGTTGTTGATGAGAGGGAAGCTCAGGAGAACAAAGACCCCGGTCCTGCTCGATGTTTTCACGTCGCACCATGTACTGACAGTGGCCAAGGTCCAAAGGGTTGTACATGCTGTCTTTGCCGTCTGCGGCTTGGAACACTGGGCAGCGGAGGCTGCTTTTGAGAAAAGCAGGATCTCCCTTTCTCTCTCTCTCTATGTATACTGTATACATACAATCAGAGTCCAAGGTCAGTCCTCTATGAGGTCATGGGCACCAGCGTTTCCATCCCAGTTTGCTTCCCAGCAATCGTGTCGAGGTGACATTGGGGTTCAATATAAACGCAGCTGGTAGACACACAGACTGGGAAGATCTGGGATGGATGAAGGCAGGACAGAGGAGCGAGAAGGTGCAAAATGGAGCAAATTCATCACATCACAGACATATTATGGCCACCAAAGTGGAGGACGGCATTGCTTGCAGTCCAAAACAATTCGCTTCTTCTCTTGAGCCGTTGCCTTGACTCATCCGTCCGTCTGAAGCCTTTTCTCCGAAAAGCTCCTGCTCGCGCCGCTCGCGCCGCTCGCTCGTCGCCTCACGAGGCTCCGCGCTTTCTGACGAAGCTTCGCGACAAAAGCGGGACGTTTTCACAGTTTGAGGTTGGGAGGGATTGGCCCGATCGATTTTTTCTTTTGAGGGATTTGTTTTGTACGACCCGGAAAGTTTCCGAACGCAGGAGCGGCTAGAAGGAGATCTGGTCTTGCAGAACGGCGAAAATATTTTTACTTTGCAGCTGGGGTTTCCTTTTCGGACCAAGTCCGGAGCCTCATCAATCCTTCGGAATCCTTCGGAATCTGGAAGCGCGTCGATCGGAGACGAAAGATGAGGCTCACCATTTCCGCAGCGGGTTGGACGAGGGCCAAAGTTGGCCTGAAGCCTAGAAAAGGGTGAGGGATTACAACCGCTTTTGCGTATTTTTACTTTTTCTATGTTTGAGCGCCGGGGGGGGTAGGCCGCAGAGAGGAGAAGATGTAAGTAGGAAACTAGTCAGTCGCTCTATTAGGTTCTTATTCTATAGGTACTAACGCTCCTAGCTACTGGACGTAGGATAGGTTATGCTTCTTCAACGAAACTCCCCCCGCTTGACGGCGGAGGGGAGCTTCTTGAAGAAGCGCTCGCACTATTCATTTGGTTCCTAGATTTTAGGCAGCGGCAGCACAAGAATAACGCCTCGGACGCGGCACCTAATCAAGCTAGTTGTGAATTTGTTTTATGCAGGTGTGCAAGATTTCGAGGACACAATTTGGAAGTTCTTTTGGTCCTGTGCTGTCCTAATGCATGTTTTCAGTGCTTATGGCCTACAAATGAGCCATCAATTAGGAATCGCGGTGTGTTGACGTTTCAGGGTTTAGGGTCCCTACGTTTTCAACACACTTTGAACCTTGTTGCACTGGATTCTGCCTGAGCATTTTGCTCAGCTTCACGTTCCTTTTTGGCCTTTGGTCGGCTTCAGCCATGTCCAATGAGAGCCAGATGGATCTGTCACAGATGGCATTGTCACCCACACTCCGGGTGGCGTGCAAGCTTCTATGCTTCCATGTGACTGCTAGAACACGCAAAGAAAAGAGCTTCTAGGTGGCCTCAAGGCTTTGCTGGAAGCTTTTTCGAACACCCCTGAGGTCCCAAAGTGGCCCGTGAAAAGACCCAAGAACAAGAAGGCTGACATCGCAAAGGACTCGATTTTGTTGGCCCTTCAGAAAATCGTGAGCCGAGCTGAAAGTCAGTTGAAGCAGTCCGAGCACAACAAGAGAGGTACAGGCAAAGGCAACCAAAGCCTAGCCCGCCAACAAAATCAAGAAAACAGAAAGGAACAAATTGGTATCCTGAAAAGGGGAAGGTCGTCAGCAGCTCACTCCACGAGTTCCAGTTCCCGAAGCTGACGCTCGACCAACAGACGCCCTCACAACGGGTCCTGTTCGCCGTCCGCCAGGTTCGGAAAAGCCTTGGACAGTTACTCCCACAGAGATACTCTGGCGACCGCTTCAGAGAGTGGCCCCTTTCTGTGCCAGGCATCTTCACCTGCAGTCCTGTGTGAAATGTTGAATCTGTTGAAAGGTGCGCCAGATGTACAGGCTTCCGTTGTTTTCTCCGGCGAGACATCGGACGAAGTAGAGTGAGTTAACAACTCCCACAAGAACTTGCCAGGTTTTGTTGGCGGGCAGCTCAAAGTGAAACAAGTCAGTGTTTGTGAAATGGCACCACGGGGAAAGGAAAACCCTTGACTCTGAAAGCCACAGCAAAAGTTTGAAGTCGCCAAGAAGTTGAAAGTGTAAGACCCTAACCTGGGTACTACCGTCCTTCGTGTGCGTTCGCCAAATGTTTTGGCGTCAGAATCCTTGCCGCGCCCTCGCAAGGATTGTTGCAAGACTGGACCACAAACTTTTGCACCAGATCCGGGATGTGTGGGGTTGGGAGCAGGTTGATGACGGTTCACATTTTCAAGGCTGCGGTCGGGTGCCTGGTGATTTGGCCAAAACCCTGATTTCACAGAGTGGCAACTCTGCAAGTCACTCAACCTGGTTTTTCGATCCGGCCGATTGGTCTGCGTTGGGTTGGGAAAAGCCAGTGTTGGTTCGGGTTCCGTTGAGGAAAAGGTTTAAGGTTTCGCAAGGCTCTAAGCAGAATGCTTTGAGAGTACATCGTCCACGGTTCTCTCGTGCGTTCAGGCAGGATCGCCTTGATCCCAATTTGTATGGAGGATGAGACAGACAAAGATGCCGAATTTCACACGGCTGCCCGTGATGTCCGATGCAAAACTCCTCCAGAGCCCGCGCAGTTACGTAGCGAACGAGGGAGAGACAAGCGCGCGTTGACTTGCCCGGGCAAAAAGAGTAACACAGTAACACAGTTCTTGACAAAACCCAGCCAGTAGCCAAAGAAGCCATGCCCGATAAAGATTCAACACACATGGATATTGACGCCCTGTCTCCCATTGCTTACTGTAAACTAAATTGATGTTGGCAGCGCCCCTTTGTGAATATTTCAGGTGTCACTACTTCCGGTTTCTTCGATGACCGGGTTAGTTGCATCGCGCGGCCCCGTCAAGTGCCCCAACTCCTGGACTTGTGGGAAAACGGGCCCCATCGATTGAACTGAAAGTAGTTGCGCGCACGGACAAACAAGGAAAATAATTGCGCACTCTTGACTTTGAACCCCGGCGCTTTGGTTGAACAATGCCAATTGCTTGGTGTAGACTTCTGCGCTAGATCTAATTGCAAACAACGACCCGCCTGTGAATCTCGACGCCGCACCGCGGCTGACGCCGTGAAACTCAATTGCTCGCCGGTCTCTCGTCGCCGCAAGCGCACACTTTTGCGCGCAAGACTTGTACCCCCCGCTCCTGTCTACCTCGTCGACAAGAAACTGCACAGCTTCGCAGAGCCTTTAAAACAGCGTTCCGAACACTCCGCGTGGCCTCTATCCACTTATTAGCCAAAACTTTTGGAGAGGTACTTTGCGGACTTTGTCGCCAGCCGACAGCGCTGCAAGATGTGGAAACACCAAAGTCGTCTGGGACACTGGCAGGGCGAAATAAGCCACTGGCTCTGTAAGCTTGGTTGGACCATCCGTGGACCTTGGCACTGGATTCAGACAGAGTGTAGCAGTGTGAATTGGAATGCGCCTAGCCTTTCTTGAGAACGTTCCTTTCGGGAAAGCTGGCGCTTTTTTTTTTCAGACATTTTAAATTCTAATCAATCGAAGAGACAGCAGAAAGCTCTGACCCGTGACCGCCTACAACGAATCCGCTTTAGACATTTCACAGAAACTGTTTTCCACCAGTGATGGTCACATCCGGGCGGTGATGTCCGGCGCTGCGTGCAGCCCTGTTTCGTACCGTTGGTTGCAGAAATTGACAACAGAGGTGCCTTGTGGTGCGGTACCAAGGACCCCACTTTGCGAAATCACGCCCGGCAATGCTGTGCATCGAAGGCTTGCCAGAGATGGTGTCCTTGGAAGCTGTGGACGGAGATTTGGAAAGCCTTTGGTGGAGAAAAGAGATCACCGCACGAGTTCATCTTCCAGGACAGTGAGGGCAGGAAGATATCCAAGGCCAAGATGGTGGAAGGATGGGCGATGGTCACCATTCCCAAGATTCAAGGTCACTCTGCTAGACGTAGTGGAGCCATGGGATATGTGAGACTTGGTATGCCCATCCAGGAACATTCCTGGGTAGATGGAAGTCGTCGGTGGTCTTGACCTATGCGGAGGACGCGCTGGAAGACAGCAAGTCGAAGAAGCAGCCAAAAGGTCCAGCCGTGATGAACCTCCTGTTGAACCAGCCCCGTCAAAAGAACCCAAGCGGGAAGTTGAAGCCTTAGAGAAGGGAGCTCCGGACCTAGTTGTCACTCAGCTGCCAAGAAAACTATGGGTGGCTTGGCGTCAAGTGGAAGACGCAGGCTGGGACGTGCCCAGTGAGACTTGGACGTCTGTGTGTGGCTGGCCCTTCAGCAGAAACTCATCGAAGGTAGTCCTCAACTCCCAGCTCACGATGGCGCAAAGGAAATGCAAGAAGTGCACCAGAAAGACTTGCGGTGTGACCAGTGAGGGTGGAAATGCAAGTCCAATGAATGAGATGTCAGTTGGGTGAAGCAGACCCTTAGCATACCGACCATTCAACAAAAGATGCTTGCGAATGACAGTGAGCTCAATAGGAGGGAGGCTGGGTTTTGAATAACCTGCTCTCGTTGTCTAAGAAGTTTAGTATGAACTGATGGACATAAGGGAGCCATGTTGTTTATGGAGGGGGGGAGGGAATGCATTCCTCTACCTTCACATAATCTGCAGTGGAGGGCTCACAGGAGTCCTAATTTGGTTTCTTTGCCCACCCACCCACGCCTGTGTTTAGAGACATGAGTGTGACACGAGGGTGGAAATGCAAATCCAATGAGTGAGATGTCAGTTGGGTGAAGCAGACCCTGAGCATACCGACCATTCAACAAAAGATGCTTGCGAATGACAGTGAGCGCAATAGGAGGGAGGCTGGGTTTTGAATAACCTGCTCTCGTTGTCTGATATTTTTGGTAATTTTGGTATTCACATATTCCCACCTGCATAGGAAATACTTAAAAAATTTAGACTTTCCTCTGCGTAAGTAACACTGAAAAATACACACGCTCACAGCGCTGGTTTCTGTTAAAAATGGCCGCTTAATGCGTCCATTTTTCTTTTGTGCGAGCTCAATGAACGCACAGTTCAACGAGTTCCTGGAGTTTCACTTCGGCCTGACTGAGGCTTTGAGGGCGATGAGATCCTCTCGTCCAACTATGTGGAAGTTGGCATCCAGCTCCCGAAGGCCCGAAGGATCTTGAGTCATTGAAGGGCGAAAGCAGATGGAAAAGACCGAGTCTATGAGTCTATGTCTTTGGAAGATGTCTTTAGTGGCAAAGGGTCTGTGAATGTTTCAAGATACTTTACGTATTTTGTGCAGGTACCAGGCCTCACCAACATCATGGAGTACTTTGTGAAGAACTATGGCACACAGTTTCTTAGATGAACTGTAACTTTGAACATTTTAGGTCGCTTGATCACTTCAGAGATCAGGAGTCTCGAATCTACAAGTGCTCATGGTTTGCCTTGTTTTGGTCTGGAATCATGCTGTTCGAGAGCAGGTCAACGCAAGAATGCACAGATGCTTTGGCAAGAGCGGCAGAGCGACTGCCAGAGACCACCACTTAGTTTTGTCGTTTGCAGTTTGATGGCCAGCATGCGAAAAAATCAACGCCTGACGGTGACCAGGACACCCTTGCAAAGCATTGAGGACACAATGAAGGAGCACTTGGAATCTTTAGCGTTTTCATCAGCGCTCTGGAGTCCAAAGCCTTCAAAAGGGGTGGACGTTGAAGACTTCCTCTGCAAACGTCACATCTGCTCTGAAGAGGAATTTTTAAAGCCGCTGACGGATCCTGAAGGAAACGAAAAAAAACTGGTAGGGAGTGGGCTGGGTTCTTAGTGCTGGCATGTGCTGGTTGAGTTGAAGTGATTGGAAGACACTTGTAGGCCCTTGTAGGCCTTCGGAGATATCTCCATACTCTTCCATATCTCACGATCACATTTTGCCGCCTAGCGGCTGAGGCCTGGAAGGCCACCAACGTAGAGTTCTTCTGTTCTTCTGCATCTTGGCAGATCGCCAGAGTGAAACATGGGGTGTTTGCGAGAGGTTCATGATGGTTCATGAGCCGAGTAAAACCGAGATGTTCCTAGTAGCGTCCTTGCTCCTAGTAGCGATGCCAGGAGCCCCTAGTAGCGTCCTTGCTCCTAGTAGTAAGGCCAGGAGCCCCTAGTAGCGTCTTTGCTCCTAGTGGTAAGGAGCAACGACCTATCCGGTCTTCCCCTTTGATGTTTGAAGGCTTCTTGCTTGTCCCATTTGAGTCTCAAGCCAAGCAAAGCCTCACCGGAGGTTTCCCCTCTGCATGGGGCCGTGTTCATTCAGACCGCTCACGTCGGACCCTTTTTGGGTCCAGTAGGTCTTTTGTGAGGCCTCTGAATTGAACACTGAGGTTGGGAGGAGTCCAGGTGAGCTCCATGAGTTTCACCCAACGCTCTTTTGGCATGATATTTTTTAAGTGCCGATCTAGAGACCTAGATGGTCCGATCTTGCGGGAAGGAGCCTGGCAGGTGTGGTTTGTGGATGCAGTGTTAACGATGGACTTGGCCGTTTGGCTGGGAGTCTCCCTAGCGCAGTACACAGAGGTTTGGAGCCGTTCACATCTTTGAACACTTTGCTGCTCACATCTTGGAGTTCCATCCAAGATGGCCTGACCTTTGAAGGGCTGGGGCCGCTTGGGCTTCTTTTCGGCGCCCCCTGCTTTTTGCTTCTGGGAGCTGGGCAAGGACATTTGTTTCCGAGCAAAAGCAGCGGGTGCAATGTGTGCGTCGTTTGGCCTTGAAGGTGACCTCTTGAGCAACTTGATGAATTCAAAGAAAACACATGTCTTTTCTTTTTTTAAAGCCCGGGGAGGAGGCCGGGGGGGTAGGCGGTGGAGGCAACTAGGTAGCTAGTAGAAGCTAGGTAGCTAGTACCTTAAGTAGCTACTACCTAAGGCGCAGGATAGCTCACGCTTCTTCAAGGAAGCTCCCCCTGCACTCTCAGGCGGGGGGAGCTTCCTTGAAGAAGCGCTCACTATTCATGTGGTTGCTAGATTTTTAGGGAAACTTAACTAATAGCAATGGCCTCCAACCTAGCGATGGCCTCCAACCTAGTTGAGTAAGGTTTCCTGGCTCAAGCCTGATCTATGGTTTTGTCAAGAAAGGCGACAAGAGACCTGCAAGTGCTTCTAGGCTCATTCATCAGATCCTGCGATGTAAATCAAAAAGTGTTCACTTTTGCAACATTCTGATCTCTCCAAGTCTAAGATAATTGGTAGAAGATCCTTTCAGCAAACTTGCGGCCCAGATGAAGCCGTTGCAAGGCAGTCAACAACTTGCGATTCATGCAGTCTATTAACAGTGATTTGTAGGACTTTAGATTCATTTCATTCACCTTTGTCCTCAGAAATCTTCTCAATGCTTGTTGAGGTCTGTCAGTTGCCCTTGCACTATTCGGGGCAGCTGCAGAACCTTTGCCATTGTCTCGGCAGACAAGACTCAACTCGGATCGATTCGACTTCAAAAACCGAGGATTCAAATTCCGACACACATCCAGGAGATGGAGTTAAGCACTCCGAAGCCAGCGGCGAGCTCACATTTGTAGAAATCAGAAATGAGTTCCTACACCACTTGCATCCTCAGGTGACCGTAGCACAGATGCAGGAGTTCAAACAGGACTTTGTGGACGTCGACTTCAACAAGGACATCTGCCACAACACATGATTGTTTTGCTCGTTTTGTCCTTTTGTGATTAATTCAATTGTGTGTTGAGGCTAGCTCCTTTATTAGTCTTTGATGCCATGCGGCTCTTTGACCACTTCTAACATTGCTTTGGGGCTGTAGTCCGTGACGAAGTAAACTAGTCTTGGAAGAGTAAAACTATGATTGATCATCTACTACACAGAAGAACTGTAGCGCTGCCTTTCTGGGCACGCTTGCCTGATGAAATTCAGTATGCATATTTGTTCCAGTCGTAAGTGAACGTAGGAAACGTCGACATGACGTGTCGATAACGTAGCTTGGGCCCAAACGTGGGTTCGGGGCCGGGGTTGCGATGGCCCTTGCTGGATGTGTGGGCCAGTTGGTGGCCCAAGGGTGGCAGCGGGAGTCCCTGGCGTTCTTCCATGACATGCCAAGGGACGAGATCCGCGAGATGTTGCCCGTTGCCACCCAGGACTGGAAGGAGGACGACTACCAGGACCTCCTTCGAGAAGCGAAAAGACAGAGACGATGGATGGACGTCGAAGACAACCAGTTTTACCTGCATCAGCGCCTGCTGTTCAAGGACACCTCGATCGTGGACGCCAAGTTGGCCCAGCTTCCCTCGGCCATAGCGGCGGAGGCCGGGACTACACTGGCTTTAGCTCGGAAGGCTCTGCCGAGAGTCACCTGGAAGACCAGGCTCCAGAAGGCCCTGGCAGGGGTCACCGGTGAGCAGCAGCGCGCTAAGATCGAGGAGGCGGAACGTGGTCGTTGGATCAAGGAGCTCCTGCAGTTGTTGGAGGATGCCGGCTTCTTGGGCACCACCTCAAAGAATGCGGAGGCCACGCTGTGCGATGGGACGCCGTGCGCCCACCATCCGCCAACATGTGAAGTATGGGCGGAGGTTGCAGGTCTACATGGATAGAGTCTCATGGCTTCGCGGGTACTCGGACTTCATCGGGTACGTGGCCCTTCTCCTTGAAGAACCCTGCGGGCGCAGCGTGCCAATCTTTATTTAAGGCCGTGGCCTTTATGGAAATGGCAGCTGAAGTGCCTAGTGAAAAGCGTCTCACTAGTTCGCAAGCTGTCCACAACTACTTGATGGAGGTCTCGAAGGGCAACTCGTGGGCACCTCACCAGAGGGTGAAAGCAGCGCGCGTTCCGCTCGAAGTTGCGCGGGCTTGGGAGATGGGGGTTCTTGATGTTAGTTTACAGAAGTTCAAAAGGGTCTTTTGTTGGTTTAAGCTTCTGAAACTTTGGGGAGCGCTCCGCTCGCATGACGCCAAGGGGGTGCCCCCTGCTACGTTGACCTTCGGTGAGGCGGTCGGGCTCCAAGGAGATATAGTGAGAGGGAAAACAACGGGGGTCGGCCGCCGCGTTGAGATCGTCCAGTTCCACATCTCCAAGGACGCGTGGTTGGTTTCCAAGGAGTGGTTGAGGGTCGGTTTAGAGCTCTTCATGACCATGAACCGGGACGTCAAGATGGGGAACAGGGACTTCCTCATGTGCAAGCCGACCGACAACCTCCAAGGCTTCAGGCCCTCCATGATGAGGTATGCGGACGCAATGTGTTTCCCCCGTGCCTTGTTGACGGAGCTCCACTCGGCCAGGACGGATGGTGATGGCAACATGTACAAGTTGATGAACCCCGAATCTACCTCCTACTGGAGTGAGCATAGCGAGCGGGTCACCATCATGAGCTGGGCATTGATTGCCGAGGTCCGTGAGACCAGGAGGCGTTGGGGACGCTGGTCGCCTGGAGTGGATGAAGAGTATGCAGTGACCACGAAGAGGGTGGTGACCACAGCCCAGGCTGGTTTGGCAAGCAAGATCCGGGGCCAGTACGGGATCACTGACTATGTGGACGACCGGTCGGTGCTCAACGGCTTCTCGCTTTGGTTGCAGACGGTGCGCTTCAAGACGGTCACGGAATCGCACCTGGAGAGTTTGAAAATCTCCCCTCCCATGTGGGGGGGGATGGGCGAGGGGCCGGTGAAGTTGGTCAAGAAGCCTTTGGTGGCCAAAGAGGAGATGGAGGTGCAGTTCGTGGACTCCCCCACGGAGGTGTTCTCGGATGATGAGGGCATGGATGACATCCCGCCAGGGGAAAGGTTTCCGCTGGGCACCTTCATCGTGTCGGTGGTGGGTCGTACCAAGCGCCGCACCCTCCATATCATGGGAGGATGCTACAGGGTTCCTGGTGTCCACTACCGCGAGTACGTCGTGGTTGGCATGGAACGCCCAGAGATCTCGGCCGAGTGCGGGGAGCGGTTGCGCAGCACGTGCTTCACCCCGAAGGAGAAGATCGCCGAGGCCCTGACGACCGGCGAGGAGGCTGAGCAGTCGACATCCTCGGAGTCCTCCTCAAGCGAGGACGTGTCGGATGATGACATCTGAAATGATGTCGGGAAAAGTGCGCTTGGGGAGCAGGGCGGGCCCTGGAGGGGCACCTTCTGGTCGGTGGTGAGTTCGGTCGTTCGTTCGTTCGGACTTCAGGGTTGGTGGACTCTTCGAACCGGCTTTCGGTTCAAGTCGGGTTGAGGGGGCCTCTCATGAGGCCAGTCCTGGAGGGACGATCCACGGTGGACGGAGACTCCCCCGCAGTGGGGTTTAGGAGGCGCGGAGGCATGGCGGGGCTGACCCAGGCCGAGAAGATCGCAGAGCTTCAGCCCGACTTCCAAGGGCTGTTAGATGCTCGGGGGGTGGACGCAGCAATGCAGGAGGCATTGTATGACAATGGGGTCAAGTCGATAGCCATGCTGTCGGCCATTGCGACGGATGGGGCGTCCCTCTTGGACCTGGCCAAGTCCGAGATGGGGATTGATGTGGCAGTTCGCCCGGCGGACGCCATCAGGTTTGCTGCCTTGTTCCTGACATGGCAGTCGGCGGTGAAGAGGACGGTGGCCATGGATGAGATGGACGCGGAGGCGGTCACGCACAAGACGCCGAAGGCGGTTCCGGGGGTAGAGATGCAGCTCTATCGCAGTGAGTTTGAGAGGAAGTTTTATAAGTTGAAGGACTCGGAGTGCCCGGGCAAGCCAAGCTTCGAGGACGTGCGAGCAGATCGATGGGGTGAGTTCAGGGCTATGGCGCTGAGACACTTTGGCTCGCGGGCAGAAGAGGACGAGGCGGGGACGGGCAACTTGCAGGTGGGCAAGACAGGGCAGGTGAGGATTAAGAAGTCCAGAGTGGAGACCAGCATGCCCACCAACATGGAAGGAGTTCCGCTCGAAGATGAACTTGGTTGTGAACCACCTGATATTCGCCCTTTTCCGTTACCCTCACAAGCAGGTTTTAGATGGTATCTCCCCCTTCACGTCAATTGAGTACTTGAACTACATCTGCAGCAAGAACGTGGCGCAGCTGGAGTCGGTCACAATTGATGACGTGCCACTTCATCGTCCCTCGCTCAAGTTGATCATGAGCTACGAGTACCAGATGCGCAAGGACGCGGTGGATGAAGTCAATAAGGGCATGTCCTGGACGCAGGCCTTGCGTGAGGTGGTGAAGAATGCAGATGTCAGAGAGCGCTACTTCAGCACTCCATTGGCGGTGTCTTCGGCATCTCAGGCCTTCAAAGAGCCCTGGAGCGGTCGCAATCGTGCACAAGATCGCCAACATCCCTACGGACAACCTTCCACAGAGAAGGGAAAAGGAAAAGGAAAAGGAAAGTCCAAGAAAGGAAAGGGGAAGTCGAAGGGTCGGGGGGCTTCACTTCATGCTGTCACCCCGGACGGACGTCAGTTGTGTTTTGCCTGGAACAACCCCCAAGAAGGCTGCAAGGGTGGCTGCAATCGGGTTCATGCCTGTCGAATTTGCTTGGACACCAGCCACCCCTCGTTTGAGCACCCATCGGAGTCGAAGGATTCGTGACTAGGGACTTCAGGCCCCGCTCAACCCATGCATGAACCTGTGCAGGAATTCAAAGTGCTCTACCTTTTCTCAGGTCCTCAGCGTTCCACGGGGATTCCTGAGAGGTTGCATCAGTTGGCGCAAGCTTCCAAGAAGCCAGTCAGATTTCAAGTTGATGCTTTTGACATCCTTAGAGACCCCAGTCATGATTTACTAGGTGATGATCTTCGCCAGTCCATCTTGAAGAAATTGGAGGACGGCTACTATGATGTTGTGATTGCTTCGC